AAATTCTTGGTTTCCGTGAAAATCATGCAATTGTGAATTCAGTAGGTCCCTAATAATGATGGCACACTGCCTTGCCCTAGAACGGTGGTTCTCAGCCAATTTCAACTTGAGGCATTCCTCATTGGACTTTTGATAGCTCATCGATAGCTTTTGTGAATTAAGGGGCATCCAGTTTCCAAAACTAATTTATATATTATGGTGCTTACTTCTTTGGAAAGGGGCTGGGCAGTGGTGGTGGGGGAACGCCAAACAGGAACAAATATGAGCCCTCGCTTATTTACTTATCTCCTCACATCTTAACACCCTTCAAAGGATCTCACAGCACCCTGTTTCATGACCCCCTGGTTCAGAATCACTTTCCTAGACAGTGCTTTCCTGAATGGGATTCAAGGCAAAGTTCCTGACCTCTTGCACTTGTTAAAGGTCTGTTAGCACTTTTCACAAAAATAGGGATGTTAATCCTATTAACAGGAGTCCTGGCCTAATTCCAGGTGGATAATTGCAGTATATTCTGTATGCCTCTGCAGCATGAATTAAAGATCGTATTTTTGTTCCTTCCTGTCTTAAGGAAAGGAAAGGAAAGGGCCATCTATTGTTGGTGTGTACTTTTAGGCCTGAATTCAGTAAGATACTTGAGCACATGGAATTGTGCGTTGCATCATATAAGTAGTCACAAGCAGCTGCTGCATTCTGTCAAAAAGATAGATATGTTTCTGTCCTGGCTAGAGCTATATGTATGTGTGTACATATAGCAGAGCTTGGCCCATATATAACTATTTTAGGGATCCCAAAATAAAGCCTGTGTAAAATATTACATAAAAATAGTACTCATTCTTTGTGAAAAACTAATTTCTCTTTTGCATAAAAACTCTTAAGTGTTTTCTACCTAACAGTTGATCAGTGCGTCTATATAGCATTTTTTCTTCTTAACTGTTTTATTTATTTATTTTTGCTCCTTTTCTTCACTTCTTCCATCTTCCTCGCATCTTCCTTTTAGGAGTCATAGGTACAGATACTGCCACAGATGCTCAGGTTCCATGACTATAAGTAAAAAGAAGAGCTTCTGAAGCATAAGGGATAAATTAATTGATTAGAGCAGGGGTCAGCAACCTACAGCCTGTGGGCCAGGTCTGGCCTGTTGAGCTCAGTTGCTTCAACAGTGTTTTGGTAGTGGAGAGCTTTGGCAGCTTTGTGTCGGTGGTGGTCTTCTGCCCAGTGGCTGGGAACTTTGCCCATGTTGCGACTGGCTGGCATGGAGATATGGCAATGGTGGGGGGTGGTCAAGTTGGAAGTGCTGGCCTGCTTCAGACCTGAGCTAGCTTGTTCTGGTCTCCTGCCATAAAGCATTGCTGACTGCTAATATAGAGATTTTGACTGTATGTGTGTTCCCCAGCCTACTGCCATCACAGGTTCATTGAAGTGTATCAACATGTTAATAAATATACAGGTGCTTGAGGCAGAAATCCAGGTATCTGCCCAGGGAGGCACTCATTTGTGTACAGGGTTTTTCTTCAGACATTTTGTATAGTATCCAAGAGTGTTTTTGTGTGACTTCCATTTTCTAAAATGAGTAGTAGTGTATCCAGAAGCTCAATGGGGGTTGTGGTTGGAGCTTGGGATTTTAAGTCAGTTTTGTTGCTTTGAATTTTTGATTCTGGTCACTTAATACCAATGTAAAAAAAAAAAAAATTAGACGAACCACTTTCCTTTACACAGGCCAAAATCCAATTTAAAATTTCTTATGATCTCTTCTGAAGATGGACACATTGATTGCATAGGTTACAAACCTACTCACGAATTGTCTTCATCCTACTGCGCTGGTTTGTCTCAAGCATGCTACACAGCATAGAAAATATTTTTTTTTGCCAACTTCTCTCTGAGTTTCTGCAAGAGCCTAGTATTGTTGTTTAAGAGTGATGATGATGACATTTAGTTATTAAAGTCAAATTAAACTGCAGTTTTTCCAGCCTGATCGTGCTGTTGCCAACACACACTTTCTCTGTCCTTGCAGTCTGTCATCTACACCTGTATAAACAACTTGTCATTGTTGAAGGGAATGGTCTGGTTTTTGCTAATTTGGTTGAGACACTTCTTTAAACTGGCATAAAAAGAAACACTTGAACTGCAAGGAGGACTTATGTAGTAGCATGTTGCTCAGCAACACAGGCTCCTTTAAGCACTTCCTTTGACTTTGAGAGTTTTCTAACTTTGTAAGCAGTGGAATGGATCCTTCTGTATTAATGGTGCTGCTATTTGGGATTGCAGTAACATTACTGTTAGAACTCTTTTTGGTAGTGCTGTAGCCACGATGGTCCAGGAATTATGAGAGGCAAGGATATTTTCGGAGTGGTATCTTTTATTGGACCAACTACATAGGTGGGATGAAGTTAGGCAAGCTTTTGAGTGCAAAGCATTCTTTAGGAAGCCTGAAGAAGAACGCTTTGCATTCAAAAGCTTGTCTAACTTTACTCCAAATATACAGTTGGCCCAATAAAAGATATCACTCCCAAAAAATTCTTGCTTCTTGTAGAACTCTCTTTGGAAGTCATTATACTTAGCATGTTTTAGCTTCAGGCTGGCTGTGGCATATTTTAAAGGCAGAAAGTGTAAATTTGGGGTCTAAATGTTTGAGAAATGTTAAATAAGTCAAAAAAGTATGTGTATGTCCAGCTTTATGATTAATATAGCTCAAAATGCTATACAGAAACAAACTATAGAGGACTATCTAAATTTACTGTGTTCGTGTACCTTCATTTTAAAATGAAGAACAAATAAAATAACCTATTTAAAAATCAGTGCATTGTGTATTGGAAAGTACTCCACAAACTTAAGTCATGCTTTTTTCTGTCTAAAAAATATTTATGTGAGTCCATCTTTAGGTCTTTTAAAAAAGTGCCCCTTTGGCTAAACACATTTTCAGAACAAATATTGCTTGTTAGTACATCTTAAGAGCTGTTTTCCAAATGCATCATCCTGTTCTGTCAGCTGAACAATATCTGAAGAAGTGGGCATATATTAAGATGTTCTGATAAACATATAGTCAGTTAACATTTGCCCTGATGCATCTCTACCACACATTTTTTTTTTTGCACTGTAGAAAATGAAAGCAACTAGCAAGTCGTCACGGCCATCTATACAAGCAGTGAGGATGCTCCGACGTGTTGTAATTACAGCATGTCGGAGCAGGCTCAATTAATCTAGTCTGCTGGAGCGTGGCAATTACCACGCTCCAGGAGACTCCAGCATCTCGTGTATCAGAGTTCCCATGCTTAAAAATGTTGGCAGGGGCACTTTAACTAAAACTCATGAATAAGCTTTAGTTAAAGTGACCCTGCTGCCACTTTTAAGAGCAGGGACACTGATGCATGAGACACTCCAGGTGCTTTAAAGTGGCTCTCGGAGTTGCTCTAATTTAAAGTTCTCCCCCCACCTCCCGTGTCCCTCCTGGGGCATGTGTATAAACCCCCAGGAGTCTGCCCTAGCAGCTTCTTCAATACAACAGGGAGAGGTAAGTCCTGAGCTCTGAATTCCTGTGCTTTTCATGAATTGCCAAGCTCTTTACTATTTTTCCATGTTTGTCTGTGGCTGTTTCATGAATGGGACAGTCTGAAAGAGAGAGAGGGGAAGGCCTGTTTTAAAATAAACTTTCTGTCATTTAACTCTTTCATTTATTATATATATTATTCAACAGGACAAGGTGTCAAGCATGCTTTGCTACTATAATTGCTAGAAGAGCGGGAGGAAGAGGAGTTAAAAGTAAAATAACAATCCTTGCTTATGTGATTTTTTTTTTTTTTTTTAGGCTTCTTTTACACAAAACCTGTGTGGGACCAACTCACCTTTTAATTACATGTTCATAAGATAAATGTTGTACAGTTGGATACTTTATAATCAGTGATCCAAAGAGGGGACCTGTGCAGTTTCAATTTAAAAACACCTTTTTTTCAACAGCAAGACACTGCAGTGCATATCATTTAGGCAAACAGACTATAAAAATAATCATCCCTGTGAGATTGTATCTTGTTTTGAAGAGCTCCAGGCTTTTTGAAAAGAGTTAGGAGTAGCAGTCCAATTTCTTTATTTTCTCTTTCTGAAGCTGAGCCAACCAAAGCACTCAGGGCACTATCACAGTGATGTTCACTGTCCTGTGAAGACATTACACTGAAACCCTTAATGGGCTGCCTGTCTATTTCTTTTAAATTGTATTGTTCTGTTGGCTGTTTTCCTTATGGTGAGCTGCATGTATTGCTCCTTTTCAAAGGGCTGATTTATACTTTTTGTAATTTCTTCTTTGTGTTTTGTCAGGGGGAAATCCTCTAGGACAATTACTTTTGAACAGTTTAAGGAAGCTCTTCAAGAACTCTCCAAGAAACGATTTAAAGACAAGAATGACGAGGAAGCGGTTCAAGAAATACATAAACTAATTGAAGGAAAAGCCCCAGTCATATCGGGAGTAACGGTATGGGTAGTACTTTAATAATGATGTGCTCTAAATCTCATCCTTGTCCTCCAGACCAGTCCTGTTTTAGGCTCTTCAAGATTGAATTGGCAGTTCATTGATGAATTATTCATCGGCTTACCTAAAATATTTGCACTGAAATACATAGCAGTAAAATTACTCCCAACAGACTGGACATGTCTCATGTCTAGTGATTTTGTGTTTTTTATGTAAGGACTGCCCATTCAGCCTGTAGAAGCAAAGTTCACCTGAATTTCTTATTGTATGTATTTGATAGGCCTCGTTGGGCACTTGTACACGTGACGGTGGTTTAATCTCCCAGGTTTTATTTTATGCCTTTTAAATTGAAACAGTGAGTTTTTACTTGAGACCCACTGTTTCAATTTTTCTATTATGTTATGACAAGGAGCCTGATCCTTTTTTTTTTTTTTCCCTGTCAGGGCTGGAGCCTGCCAGTGGCTGATGGTCGAGCTGCTGGTGGCCTAAGCAGCCCCTGAGCTATGGGGGCGTCCCAGTCCTTACCTCTGCAGTTGCGACGCCCTCTGGGGCCACCTGGGTGGGCCAGTAGCAGGCCAGGGGCTGCCCCTGCTCAGAGGCAGCACCTGGCTTGATCCAACTCTTCTCTGATCCCGCCTGGGGAGCAGCACCCGGCGGGCTTCCAGCGGACAAGCTTGGGGAACAGTTGGATCAGGCCAGGTTCTGCCTCCGAGCTGGGGCAGCCCCTACTAGCAGCCTTCCCAGGCAGCCCCAGAGTGTGCTGCCACCACGGAGGGAAGGACCATGGCCCTTGCAGCTTAGGGGGTGCTCAGCAGCAGACTCCACACACACAAAAAAAAAAAAAAAAAAAGGATTGGTCTTTTTTTGCAGAAACTGCCCGGCTCTCCCATGGCCAGGGGGCGAGCTGACAGCTGCATCATTGCAATTTGTAACATTGCAAACTAAACTACATCCAGATGTAGTTTAGTTTGGAACAATGCAAAGTCATTTAAAACTCCCAAAGCTGGTGCACGTGAAAAGTGTGCACATTAAGCCACACAAACGACATCTTTGTCACATGTACATCGTGACGACCGTCACGTGTACAAGTGCCTGTTGACTTCCAAAGCCTTTCTGGAGATTCAGTTGTATCCTTACTTTCGTGGTTGTGGAGTGCTACAACCCGTATCGGGGAGTCTTGTTATAGGAAATTCATTTTTTTTCTTCAGAATGTTGAAATTTCAAAAATACTTGTTTGCTACTGTGACTGGGAAGATGACAGTTTAGTAGCAAGTTGGAAACTTTGGGTTGGCATCTCAAATCTGGAATGTGAGATGTATTGTTGTCCTGAACACACAGGAAGAAGAAATAATATGCAAGAGATGTGGCTTAATTTAGACCACAGTTTGATTCATTCAGCTGGGAATGACTTGCATCATGTCCTTTTTAACCATTTCTGTCTATTTGAGCGCTGCTGGTTAGCCATCCAAACTTGGTCCCAGCTCTTTGCCATTGCTTATTCCAGTTCTTATTCCAGTTAGATCTCTGGGAACTAGACTTTCTGTGGAACAGGTGGCTGGAGACTTGCTATCTGTGAAGATGGGCCAATTTGAATTAAACTTTCCAGTATACCTAACAGGTCCTAGACAGGCTGTGGGGAAAGCAAACCTCTGCTTTCCCCTCCCTATATGGCAGTGAAGGAAAAATTTCTTCCCATTCCCTAATTCTCATAGCAGACCACAGAATCTGGTCCTGGTCCTGCTATAGTTCTTTGAGTGAAAGGTACAAATCTGTGTGTGAAAGCAGGATCCATTTGGAGGGATGGGGGGAAGCGGGGGTCAATGGCCCAGTCAGGTTCCTCAAGCCAGCCTTGTTCAGGTGAAGGACCAATCCAAAGGGAGGGTTCTTTCCTAGAAAATGAAGCTTAATGTGAGTTCATCAACATAATCGAACCAAAAAGAACACATGCATGTATTGTGCTTGTACCAAGTTGGGGTAGCTGCCAGGGGTGGGATGGTGTGGCTGCTAAAGTACAAAGTTAACAGCCCAGAGGTTACAAGTTTGTGGCCATAGCAGAAGCACTCATGATGTGGCTCTGTCAGATTTAAATGAATCTGTGATTCTGCTAAATGCTTTGTCACAAGGACACAAAAAGGACAGGCAGGGGTAGCTGCATATACAAATGGGTATTTAGCTGATAAAACACACAAATATAAGTATATGAAGACATTTAATATTCAGTAGGCTGATGGGTCGTAAAATGGTTTCTTTAAAAAAAAAAAAAAAAAAA